TTCCAAAAGCTTTCGGGTTTCGGAATACCTCAAAACAATGTTGTAATTTAAGTCCCCTAACCATATGACCATAGCATGTCCTAGAATTTTATTCCACATCATGCGATGAGTTGTTTTGAAAATCTTAGGAAATTGAGTGCTCTTATATATCTCTAACACATCCAAATTTCTCCTGAGCTCGTCCCTCTCTTTCTAACAAGATGGCCAAGTGACTGCATACAAAGCAAAAGTTTGTCTTATGGAATAAAAACTTAAAGAAATACAACCCTTATTTCCAAGGCATCCCATAATCCCACAACTCATGCAAGAGATTCTTAAGTGGCTAACAAATTGTATATACTACTTACTCACCCAAATGGTACAATCAAAAACATTTGATCCATTTTCATCTGGTTCAAAACTTAAGGTGCAACTCTTCAACCTCATTTTGCTCTTTGTTCTTAAAGTCTTAGTGAACTTTTTAGTGGAAAGCTTCAAGGAAAATAGTGAACCATTGCCTCTAATTTTTGAAGACTTGTTTGGTGATTTTATTCTGGGACTGATTGATTAAAGCAAGCCATTTTGTTGCAAGTTCTTTATCTTGTGGAACTAGCACATTTTTAGCATTTAAATAGACAATTTTTTGAAAACCCAAGACATATATATCTGCTTTGTTGTGCGGAAACACTCCAAGACCTTGGCGTTGATGGACTTTGTGATGGCACACACACAAACCCCTTGATAATAAAACACATACATCAAAGAGAGAAAATAAACACACACAAGAACACAAAGATTTATAGAGGTTTGGCCTTGTGCCTATGTCCTCTTGGTGATCTACCTGAGAAATTCACTAATATTTAAGAACAACTTTGGTTACAATCAAGAATCCCTTTAGCTCTCACAAGAACCTAGCTCTCTTTTCTCTCACATTTTCTCAAATCCTTTGATGCCCTTGTAAACACTCAAGAATTCACCCTTGAATTATGTCTTGTGTTTCTCCCTTGAAAATTCACTCTTGAATTCTCCTCTCTTCTTATTCTTCTGAAACCCTAGCACTAAATTGCCTATTTATAGACCATAGTACTTTAGTACACTTATATTAGGAGTAAAAGACTTAAAACCTAGTCAAACTAGACAAAAACTTGCCTAAAACCCACTGAAAGCCCAAAATGCGTCAACTGGAAAAACACGGCGCAACCGGTCATTTTGGCACAGTGACTTCTTTCTTCGCGAACGTTGCTCTTGGCCACGAACCGACTGGTCGCTTAATCAATGCAACCGGTCACCTAGTGATATAGCTTCCTCTCGATTTCTTCTTTTCCTTCCTGTTGCTCCTTCTTGCAACGCCTTGGATTCCTTCTTCCTTCCACGCATCAATGGTGAGCCAAAACACAACAATCTTCACCTTGGCGAACCATCAATCACCTATGAACAATTGTTCATCAAAGCACCCATCAAACCTTCCTGCTTCATGCTCCCCAAGCACTTCGAAACATAATTGAATCTTTTTTGTCCATAAATCCAAAACTTGGGGACGGGTTGGTGAATTCCTAAGCCATGAACCTTGCTTGTGATGAAGGCTCCACCTCAAGTAGAACCTCTTTTTGAGTTTGTTGTTGATACTTATCTTCTTCAACCTTTGTGTCAAGCTCCATCCGCCTTGGAGTTCCTTCCATGACCATCTTGGTAAGAAGTAACTTTTCGGTTGCCACCGACCTAACAACATTCTCCCCATCATCCCTTGTCTTAACTTTACCCTTGTGGACCTTGTCCTCCGACTCTGCCACTTCTACATCTTTGAAATCAAGCACCCTTGATGATGAACTTTTAATCACACAACCCTAATTAACCTTTCATGCCCAACTAGTCTTGAGTGAACTCGTAGCTTCATTCCGTTGCACCAGCTCCTTGACAGTAAGGTCCCTTGCCCGCTTTTATTTGGTACAAAGCGCCTCCGTGGTAGAATTTTTTGTTCCACCTGCTATTGTACCCCCCTAAAGCTTTGATAAACGTTGTTAGGTTGAATCTCCCCCCTCATAATCACCATCGAACCTTGTGTGACTAAGAGTTTCCCTTCTTTGGCCTTGTACGAATACCCTTATCTATTTAGAGTGCCAAGGGAAATAAGATTCCTTCTTAGTTCTGGTACATGTCTCACCTCACTAAGGCTCCTAACAACACCATCATGCATCTTTATCTTCACTGTTCCCACACCCAAAACTTCACAACTCGTTTTTTCTCTCAATGAAATCTTATTATCCTTCCTTTCTTCATATGTATCTGGGGAATTATTTGATTCTTGCCTTAATTAGGATTTGATTTAAATCAAATCCATAATTACACCAACCTCGCCAAATAAGGGAAGAATAATTTCTTTCCATTTGTGGAATTATTCTTCTGAAACCCTAGCCTCAGAGGCTCCTATAAATAGATGGCTACGCACAAGGGTTGAGGTACGTCTAAAATTCTATCTGAAACTTTGCAGAAATTCCCTCTCACAAACCCAAGCCTCCAAAACTCTTTCTCTCTCACATAAGGCTCCGATCACCACACACGACTCTGGCCACCCGGTTCTCTCCACGAGAGCTCCGTACCCTTTTAGTTATTGTTTCTCTACGAATCAATCGAACTAACTTAGGCATTGGAGGGCCTTTGGCCAACACCCCCTGGATGTAGTCCTCTTATTCCAATCTATTTTGCAGGGAGAAAGAGACGATGAAAAAGGAAGGGGAATCAATCGATCGAATATTCTTGTGGGACTAAAATCACTCCCATAGTATCAAACTCCTTCATATTAGAACACACATGAAACGAACAATCGGAATCTAGAATCCAAACTGAAGTAGAACTCCTACCCGAAGAATTCGTTAAGACTTCCCCGTTACGCTCCTCTTAGCAACCGGTCGTTTTGGCACAGTGACTTCTTTCTCTGCGAACTTTGCTCTCGGCCATGAACTGACTGGTCGCTTGATCAATGTGACCAGTCACCTAGTGCTGCAACTTCCTCGAGACTTCTTCTTCTCCTTCCCATTGCTCCTTCTTGCAACGCCTTGGATTCCTTCTTCCTTCCACGCATCAATGGTGAGCCAAAACACAACATAATTCATTGTTAACCTGAAGAAAATCGTCCATATTTAGGCTAGTGCGAGGAGATTTCCCTCATACATTCCATGTTGCTACAAAAACTTGAAAAGACTGAACATATTGACTAGCATACATTTGAAGCTCTGTGCCACTTATAGATTGAGTGTCAAGTGCTGGATTGGACTGTGGTTCATGGAAATTAGATGAGCCACTTCCTTCTCTCTCCTTCATGCTGAAAATCTTAAGAATAAAAGACTTATTTTTCACGTCTTGATTCCCCACAATCATTTTTGAAACTACTAATTGTGGGAGCAAATTTCCTCCCACGGGAATATTCGGTTGACAGATTCCTTCGTCTTCTCCGCCTCTCTTTCTCCCTGCAAAATAGAACAAATGAGAGGACCACCCGGGGGGTGTTGGCCAAAGGCCCTCCGATGCCTAAGTCAGTTCAATCAATCTATAGAGAAAAGATAGCTAAAATAGGGTACGGGAATATGCATGTGTGGTGAAAACCGGGTGGCCAGAGCCTTGTTGTAAAAGAGAGAGAGAGAGAGAGAGAGAGGCGGCTAGGGTTTGTGAGAAATAATTTCTGCAGAGATTTGATAGTAATTTTAGACGTACCTCAACCCTTGTGTATGGCCATCCTTTTATAGAGGTCTTGGGAGCTAGGGTTTCAGAGGAATAATTCCGTAGATGGAAGGGAATTATTCCTCCCCAATTTGGCGAGATTTGACTAGCTAATTAGGGATTTGATTTATTAGGGATATAAATCAAATCCCTAATTGTGGTAATCAATCAAATCAATACCTAATTTAATTAGGTAACTCCTCCTTTAATTGAGAATATTCGTAGGAATCAAATCAATCCTCAACCTAATTAGGTAACATTCTATTTAATTGGGTAATCCCCAATTAAATTGAATAATTCCCAATTAGGTCAAATAATCCCCAAATGGAAGGAATTATTTGACCTAGGGTTATGAATTAATTCGGTTCCCACACTAATGTTTCATCAATTAGGTTCACAAACCTTGTGATTAGGACAATCTAAATCCATGTTCTCTTTGATTACTTTCCAATTATGGAATTAAGCAATCTGATATTAGTCTTTTGAAACCTTGCTCTAAAGTCCCGCCAGGGATTCGGAACATCAAGTAATGTTGAAGTTGTTCAGAGTACTAATTTGTAATCGAATGCATATCTAACAAAAATGTTAACTATGACTATTTTGATATTAAAGAGCTGTATAGTTGTACCAAAATAAAACGGAAGATATTCATAATAGATATACTAAACCGAAGAATATACACATTACGCAAAGTACCAAAATAACAAAACAACAGTTGATTGGATTAAGTTGTATCAACATGCCAGAAATTAAGTAAAGTTAAAAGTGCACACGTTTGTTCCCTTTATTGGAATCCTTTAGAATAGCCTTCTTTCTGAATGGCCAATAATGACCTAGGGAAGACCCAAATCACCAGAATCTCATAACTCAAACAAGAAAGTTACCATATTTTGTGACAAAATACTTATTCTGTGCACTGCATCCCTAGCTAGCAGTATTAAACTGCGCCAGAGAAATAGGGAGATGAAAAACATTCTTAACCTCTCCGGTTAAAGCATCACCAAGGGGAACGCAACTGCGTTGTGAAGTCCTCTTTATTTGAACACCCACCTGCAGCCACTTTCTCATCCAGCAAACAAGCATCTTTCATTCTGATATATAGAGCATGACAATGTTCTGTCCTAAATAGAACTATACTAAAGCAGAGGCACCATACGTATATAAGCTATATAGATAGCTATAGATTTCTGCACTTGTTTATTATTCAAAAGCATCATTCATATACAGATCACTTCATATATATTCTATAAAAATTAGGTACAAAGGTCTCTCTTCTCTGATTATATTTAATAAACAGTGCAGATATCGATATAAAAAATCAACTTAATTACACGAAAAAAGTATAGATGAAAGTTCAAGACTACATAGAACAATTGAGCTTCTCGAGGTTTCCTTCCACTTGCTTATAGGCAGTGTTTCATTCTACATTGAACTTCATTTTGTTGAAGTTTTACTACTAACAATCACTATGGGTTTGAGCGCGAGGGTGAGGTTTCAAAAGGTACCTCAAAATGAAAACTTTCATATTCATCCCTCGGTGGCAATTCAGGCACAATTTCTCCTGCAGACTCATTATTTCGTACTTCAGCGAATTGAACTGCCACAGAAGCCTGATTGGGATCTACTTGGCTAGAACCACTAGCAGCTTCTCTCAATGCCCTTCGCTTTGCTGCCACCCGAACCCACTTAGCAAGGGCTGGACCTATTTTTTCGTCAAAAATTGCCGGCTTCGCATGAGCTCCCATCTTCATTACAAGTAACCATAAACATCTCAGTCTAACATCTTTCAAAGGAAGCATAACAAACAGGGAATGCAATTGCATTAATTCTTTATAATCCTGCATCTCACCTGTGTGACAATTGCGTACAATGGTAAGGTGCTGTAACTGCAGAGGAACTGAATGAATGCTCTGTTTACATAGGCATTCAGGATAAGAACAAGATTGAAAAATAAATAAATAACATATCAGATTTTTGAAACTACGCACAAATAATATATATGAACAAAATAATCCAGTGAGTACGCAATTCTATTTATATATTTATATATGAACAAGGTTTTACCCGATCACAAGTCTTGGGATGATATAATCAACTTTCCCCATCATGCAGGAATGAAATTTATATTGAAACTGCAACACATTGAGCCACCATTTATGAAAAATATGTACCGCAACCATATTGTTCTGGATAAAAAGTCACTAGTAGGTAATGTTTAGGTCATAGTCGTACCAATGTCCAGAAGAAAAATGCCAGTTGAAAAGAATTTTGGAACAAGATTATATGAATCAGAAAGAGAAGCAGATCGGGCCTCTGGAACCAAAAGTGATCATCTGAAGGTTGAACAACCAAGTCCCATTCAATTATATTGCATCTTTCAGCAACCTCATGACCCAATTGCATAATTACATGCTCCAACTTAGTGCCAACAGCAAGAAAAAGCTGTAAGAAAGAAATCACCATAAATATTGAGTACCCTATCCTAGAGGTTCCCTGGTTTAGTCTGCAGATATGCGGAGACAAATGCACAATTTCATGGATCACTGGCCATGAATGAGATTCACGATTACACACCAGAGAAGCAAATTCTAAGGCATTCATTTAAAAGAAATAAATATAATCATAAAGTGATAATGGAGAGAAAAGAACCTCATGCATGGTGGAGCTTCTATTATACATGGCCATACCAAACAACTAAAAAAATTCTAAGACAATAATCACTTACATATATATAGCAAGGAATGACAACATACTCAATATTGTTCTGGTTTTTTCAATGGGAAAACTGGTTTAACTTCCCTTTCTCAATAAGGACTGATGTTGAGATTTTTAAGAACGCTCGTATCACATATATGATATTCATACATGCAATTCCTAGTCATAAATGTTGTAATATCCAAAAATGTGATCAAGACAAAACCATTTCTGCATCAGAACTATAAATTTCGACACACTTACAATGAGGGGAATAAATGAGATCCAGAAATAGGCATGCCAACCTGCATACAAACATCAGAAGTTTTGAGAATGATCTTCATGCAGCAGGTCAAAATTGCAAATGAAGATTATGGCATATCTTTATGGTGGATTATGTTTAAACTCTAAATCCAATAACTTCTGATTCTTGTCAACAAAACATCAATCTCACTTTCAAATGCCTTAATTGACGCATCAAGTGATTCAGAACTCGAGACCTCTACCCTAAAATATCAATCTCTGTTTGAGGTCCAGAGATCGGGCGTCTTATGGAAGGAAAATGAGTTGTACAAATTCCTTATCAATAAATTCATGTGCATTCAAAACATGATAGCACAACAGTGTAACTTTATAAGAGCTTAATTGAATTTTACTGAGAGCAAACAAAAACAGTGTAGTCATTATGAACCCAGAATTTAAACCAAAATGTAAAAGCTTACCCCAGACGTTCAGCAACAAGGAGATGACCACATAGAACCAAAGATACCAACTGCAAATGATTAAGTAGTAGTGTGATTTATTAACAGAGGGAACATTCCATAGACATCATTTTGAGATTTCATTAATGCAACGGCTTATAATTAAATAGGAAATTAGTTGAAAGTATAGACTTTCTATGCCTGTGCTTAATGAAATTTTATGTGATGGATGAGAAAGAGTAAGGCAGTAAGGGCGGCCCTGCCAATGAGGCTCCAGCCGTCACAGAGTTTTGGATTTATCCCCATTTTAGCAGAGACACTGTTTTTTGTTTCAAACATGCAACCTCTTGTGACTTATCCTCAAAGAGTGAGGCAGTGAGCTAACTACGAAATAGAAGCAACTAATGAAAATTAAGGGCATGATGTAATCTTAACTTATAACTAACCTTATTCCAACGACTCTCTTAAAATCTGCTTCAAGGACACGGATCATGTAATTGTAGAAATTAAACTTTGAATTTCTGCTGAAATGGGCCTACAGAAGAATTACCTTAAATCTTGAAACAGGAATTATGTATAGCAAGGGAGGAAAGAAGAGTCAGAATTAAATAAAAGGTATGATAGAAAATCTAAAAGTTAACAAAACTTACATCGATGAAGCCTAGCCTTACCATCATATAATCTGCTTTTGTCACAGACCTAAAGAATTGCTTGAAAAATGCCAGCTGAAAAAAGGAGGATCACTTTAAGACATTGGATATGCAACATTGCTTATTAGACATTGGATAGAAAGGGATTTTTCATCAGCTGTTTGATACATCAATTATCGATCAGGAAAGGTTCCTTACAATGCATACTATACTTTGGTCTCTAACTACTTGTTTCATCAGGTTTTGATATTATGATCCACAATTGTCACTGTCTCAGAAACTATAAGAATTCTATACTGAAATATGACTAAATGGTAAACAAAACAAAGAAAAGGAAGCATCTGCCATATTGCCCTGCGATGAGATTGATAAAGTACTTAAAGAGTGTTTTAGGTTCTTTTAGTTGAGTTTTAAAGTTTGATGGCCAAAGATGTTACGACTCACCAACCAACTTAGAAAAGCTGGATTGTTTCCACCACGACCCCGGATAAAAAGATGGGCGTGTGTTGATTGCCTTCTCCGAACTGCACACATAATAGGAAAAGCACTGATGAAGCAATTACAAGTTGGCGATGAAAGAAAAGCTTGGCACTTGATAATGATATGAACTTACGAAAAATGTAATATTACCTTCTTCTGAATAGTACACATTTTCTGCGACAGAGTCCTCCCAATGTTTCCATTCACGAATCTACTTCAATAATGAAAAGATGAAAAGGCAAATATAAAAAAGAAATAAGAAAAGTAAAGAATTTGAAAGCACAGAAAATCATGACATTATATATAATTAGTCAATTAGACAAACAAGAACAGCAAAAGGTAATAAATATGAGAAAGTTACCCTTGCCCTTGCAAAAAGAATGGTTAGGATAGAGAAAGTCGCATGCACGGTAGCTAGCACAAAGATGAACATCTGAAGATGCTGCCAAGCAGTGGCGGTTAGCAATGGGACCTTCCCCTGGAAAACAAATTAGATTAAAGGAGAAAATATATCAGATTCCCTGGTTCTTGGTGTGTGACCACCCGTTGGAAGCACGATATTTCAAGTGCAAGAATGAAGCAAGGGCCATCCATTCAAGACTGGATACCACTTGATTGAATATGTACAGGTACCACAGTGGTGGCCTCCCCCTTCCCACTGTTTTGACATCCAGGTTCGAAACCCCAAGGGGTTTCTGTCCTCCCAATGTAACCAAAATATATATATGTACTACCTGGTGATGTAATGAAATCCCAAAATTCTTTGAGAACAACTTGAAGCACATACAAACAAACCCCCATTTACTAACACACAAGAAATAGAAAAATATTTGTATCCCACCTTAAAATTAGTAATCCAATACCGTCAAATGAGGAAATTGATCAACTATAGGGGGTAGTTGATCAAATTTCAATTCGTTACTCCCCCTATTCTTAAGTTCCCTAATTCCTTATTAGTTCCCTCATTCCAATTAACTAAACATGTCATTGATGTATTGTTTATCTTCTTGTAATTCGATTTACGAGGTTTACCCTTTAAGATTCAATTCTATCTTAAAGACAGTAGTTTTAACATTACTCTTTGTATCTATAAAAATGACAACACTCCCCTATTAGTTGGAATCATTCATTGTACCTGTGAGTGTTATAGAATATTCAGTTTGGAGTGTGCAAAAGTCACTAGTGTTAAATAATTATTGAGTAATGAAGTTCCCTTTGATATGGTAAGATAAAAATCCATGTACTAAAAACCTTGAACTTATAAATAAAACTATGTACTTTTAGAAGACAACATTAAAAATGTATCAATGAATAAATAAATATATGAAAAGATTATTTTAAAAGGTAATGAAAGAGACAAAAATTAATGATAAAGAAGTACCTCTGAACAGTCGCCCTTGGAGAGAGGACCTCGTTTCTTACAAGGCAGCCAATGACTGGCCTGTTTCTCCGTTATGCAGATTTTGCCTAAACGATCTTGAAACACTGACAGCAGCAGAGCTATAATCCCCAAAATCAACTCTGCACAATGTTAAATATATACCGGCGGTGATATATAAATATGTCCACGGAGCTTCAAATATTCAATATCGATCAATTTGGTCAGTGGATGGAGGAAGAAGGACCTTGTTTAATCTTATGCAACGCCTCAAACACATGTTCGTGGGTCTTTTTCTTCAGATACTGCATGCAAACAACTGATTATAAATCAATTAATCTCTCTCTCACACACACAAATTTATGCATGACTGGTGAGATGAGAACTGGGATATATGTATGTGGATATGCATGCCTTGTCAGTGTAGTAAAGGATTCTCTCAACAGCTAGAGAGATGAACACTACGACACAAGACACCGCAGCCACCACCCATGTCGGGGTGTACTCTAACGTTGTTTCTCCTTCTGCCATGAATGAACAAGATGATCTATCTTATGTTTCTGTTGTGTCTCCTCCAAACACATATTAACTGGTTTCTTGGTCCCTATATACTCCATCCATTTACATTGCGGAGACTCCTAAAAGAATTTCTTTTTCTTTTTCTTTTTCTTTTTCTTTTTCTTTTTCTTTTTTGTACATGTAGGACAATGTTGCTCATTTCGTGGGGGTTTCACTGCGCTTGCTATGTCCCAAATTGGTCTTAAATTAGGAATATAGGAGGTGGAAACAAGGAATAGGGTTGACTTGCTGACATGTATTCAGCAATAGAGTACTTCTATAGTTTCTGATTATATGTGAATATATAAAGTTGGCATCTGGATGAAAAATATTACAAGAAAGAGGAGATGAATGTTCAAAACTACGTGGAACAAGTGATCTTCTCGAGGTTTCCTTCCACTTTCTGCATGTACATCAAAAGGCTGAACTTCCTTCTGTTGAAGTTTTGCTACTTAATTTATCACTTTGGGGTTGAGTGAGACGGTGAGATTTTTCATTTTGGTGACCTCACTGGCGGTCAGGCTCAATTTCTCCTGTGGTGCCAACTTCCACTGACGACTCATTAACTGTCACACAAGCCTCTTTGGGATCTACATGTTCTTCAAATATGGCCTTCTTGAATGAACTTCCCATCTTCACCATTGCCACCAAAAGATAGAAATCTCATTCTAAAATCTGGAAAAGGATAACAAGAAAAGGAATGCAATTGCAGCAGTTCTATATAATCCTGCAAACCTCACCTGTGTGACGATTGCGTACAGCAGGAAGGTACTGTAACTGCAGACGAACTGAATGAATGCTCTGAGAATGGATATTGGCATTCAGGAAGAAAAGGGAAAAAGGTACATATCAGATTTATGAAACTGTGTTGGGACACACATAAAAACACACATATGAACATGATTTTACCCAATAATGAGTCTTGGGATAATATAACCCACTTTCCCCATTATGCAGGAATCAAATGAATATTGATACTGCAAGAGATTGAGCCACCAAATATCATAAATCTACCACTACCATTTTGATATGGATTAAAAATTAATTAGTGGGCAATTTTTAGAATCCATTCTCACCCATAACCAGAAGAAATATGCCAGTCGAAAAGAATTTTGGAACAAGATGATACGTATCAGGAAGAGAATCAGTCTGGGCCTGTGGAACCAAAACTGATCATCTGAAGGTTGAACAACCAAGTCCCCTTCGATTGCAATGTGCTTCTTAGCAACCTCATTGGCCAATTGAGTAATAACATGCTCCAACTTAGTGCCAATAGCAAGTAATAGCTGTAGGAAAGAAATCACCATAAACATTAAGTTCCCTATCCTTAGGTTCCTTGGTTTAGTCTATATATTTGTGGAGAAAACGCACAAAATTTTGGATGACTGGAAGACAAGACAAATGAGCAAAAATAGACCTCATGCATCAAGTGGCTTCAATTATACATCACTACTATGAAGAATGAGCACATGCTAAAACAGATACAATCAGATGTGTCAACCCATCAATAATAGCCTTTCCCATGTCTTCCCTGTCTCATGCTCTGTAACCCAAATTAACAGAAAGTGCCAAGAATGACTTGCTGAATATCGTTCTGGTTTTCCTTCATGTGAAAACTAGTTTAACTACTCTTCCCCATCACTTATAAGGAGTGATGTGACTTTCTTCATTTGATATGTGCATGTGTGTGTGTGTGTGTGTGTGTGTGTTAATGTTGAACCTAAAAGACAAGTAAGGCTCAATGATCACTTAGGTAAAACACTTATTAATGACATTCATTTATAGTTGAGTAATTATATAGAGAATCATATCAGTGGTTTTATCTTTTTGTAATTATGATATGTGTAGTTGATTAATTATGCAAACATTTGAAGTCAAATAAAGTTCATACACAAAAAAGGCATTAAAAAGCATTTTGAGTTTTAGAGCACATATCGCATCATACATCAACATTGTAATAAAGAAAAAATCAGCACTGCATTAGAAGCATAAATTTGGAAAACTTACAATTAAGGGAATGAAAGCTATCCAAAAATAGGAATGCCAACCTGCATATAAAGATAATTAAGTGTCGGTAACGACCTTCGTGCAACAGACTAAAAATGCAAGTGAAGATTATGGCAAGTCTATACCCTGGGTTCCTGTTAAATGCCAATTCCATCAACTTCGGATTCTTGTCAATAAAGACCTCTACCATAAATATCTATTTCACTTTTAGGCAAGGAGATGGGGTATCTTATGGAAGGAAAATGAACTGTACTTAATTCTTTGGTAGACCCATCTATGTGGAAGCAAAATTTATAATAGAATTACAGGAAAAGAAGAAACAGAATTAAAGAAAACATATGATAGGAAATCTAAAAATTAAAATACTTACCTGAACAAAGCCATGTCGCATTGTCAAATAATCTGCTTGGCTCACAGACCCATAAAATTGTTTGAAAAATGCAAACTGAAAAATGAGGAGCCATGAGATAACGGATCAAAATGTGTGATATTGCTTATAACACATTGCATAGGTAGGCTTTTGAAATTAGTGTTTGATATATCAATTATTGATAAGGAAAGGTCCTTACATAGCATAGTATATTTTCCTTCAATTAGTTTGTTTATCAGATTTTGATATTATGATCCACATTTGTCAGAATCTCAGAAACTCTTAAGAATTCTTGTCACTGAAATATAAAAGTGATATAGAAGAAAAATTATCTGTAATGTTTCACTGTGTTAAGATTGATGAAATACTTTAAGAGTTTTAGTTACTTTAGTTAAGTTTTAAACTTTATCTACCAGGAAGATGGAGTAACTTGATGCAAAAAGATATTATGACTCACCAACCAACCTATGAAATCTGAGTTCCTTCCAAAACCCAGAACGCGACTCCTGATAAAAACAAGATCATGGATGGTGATGAACTTCCTTTCCAAAACTGCGTACATAATATTTTAGCAATAAAAAAATATTTTAGAAAAAAGCACTCACCACTCAATCAGAGTTGGCTGTGAAAGAAAAACAAAAGAATTGAAGCACTTGAGATATGAAGCTATGATACTATGAAGAATGTAATTGTTAACAGCATTACCTTCTTCTGGATGGTAATCACTTTTGATAGAATCCTCCCAACGTTTCCATTGACTCATCTACTCCATTGAAAGCATAGAAAAGAAATTTTTTTAAAAAATTAATAAAATACAAATTTGTAAGCACAGAGAAACTTGATGGCATATAGAATTAATCAATTAGACAGACAAGAAGAGTAAAAGATGAGAAGTTACCTTTGCCTTTGCAAAAAGAATGGTTAGAACACAGAAAGTTGCATGCACCGCAGCTAGCATAAAGATGAAGATATGAAGATGATGCCATGCAATGGCGGATAACAATGGGACCTTCCCCTGGAAAATAGATTGGATAAAAGGATAATATATCAGATTTCCTATTTCTTAGGTGCGTGATCACCCTTTGATAGCATGATATGTCCAAAGAAAGAATGAAGCAAGGGGCATCTATAAGCCATTTAAGACGTAAAATAACTCGATTGGATATGTACTACTTAGTGACGCAATCAAATGCCAACATTATTTGAGAGCAAGCGAGCACACACAAACACACACAGGAAAATTACCCTAACAATTTATAATTAAAGGCTTTCTTTAGGCAGGCATCTACTCTCATTTTCTTATTTTCTTTTTTCCTTTTCTCCTTTTATCAAACCAATGAATTTGAAAAGAAAAAAAATCATGCCAAGTTATTCTGAAGTGTTCTCTCTGCGCAA